GTAGCGCAGTCTCAGTTGAATGGCCACCCTGAAACCTGACTGGTTAGCATCCAGTTTGTTGTTCTGTGAAAGAAACAATGATACCTGGTTGAAAACAACTCATTCGAGGGTTTTCGATATGAACGGAAGAAGAGAGACAGGTCTGTAGCTATCTGTAAGTGAAGTGTTTAATGTAGGTTTTTTGAGCAGTGGGGTTACCCAAGCCTGCTTGAATGCAGTGGGGAAGGTGCCTGTGAGGAGAGGTGTGTTGATGATGTGTGTGAGTGCTGGTAAAAGTGTAGGAGAAATTGCTTGGAGAAGGTGTGAGGGGATTGGGTCCAGAGGGCATGTTGTAGGATGGCTGGAGAGGAGAAGTTTTGATACTTCTGCCTCAGTGAGGGGACAGAAGGAGAAGATGGGAGTTTTAGCAGTGGGTGTGGTTGGTTTGAAGTCCTGTATGTGTGGGGCTGAGAATTGACTACTGATTGTTCTCGTTTTGTCTGTGAAGAATGTGGTGAAATCATCAGCTCTTATAGAAGTGGTGGGAGGTGGTGGAGGGGGACAGAGGAGAGAATTTAATGTTTTGAAGAGATTACGTGTGTCTGGAGCACTGTTGATCTTATTGTGGAAGTAGGAAGATTTGGCAGTATGGACTTCCGCAGAGAAGTATTGCATAAGTATTGCAAGTAAGAGCTGGTCAAAGGACTGTACTTTTGTATGTGAGACATATATGTCTAGTCTCAGACTGTGCTAACAATCTTTCTGTATGAATACGACCTGCCCATAGATAGATAGATAGACAGGTGGATGGATGGACTTTTACTCTCAGCTGTTTGTAGTGCTTTTTGGGATTACTGGGATACATGATTACTGCCTTACATTCTGGCCAAAAGAAGGAATAATTATACTAATCAGTCATTTGTAACTTGTAAGATAAATAGTGATGTGTGAACGAGCGTGAGAAAATAAAACGTAAAAGATAGTTCTGCCTACTTCATCCCATTAAAGCGTGCACAAATATGCATACCTAACATGCCCACATAAATGCAGGAGATGCAGAGGAGAAGATTCATATGTATTTCAGAATCAGAAAGAACTTTTATGCATCAAGGCAAATTAGATGGCATGGTTCTCCTAAAAGAGGCGGAGGTGGAGAGCCGAACGTGAGTAAACAGCAAGTCAACAACATTGGCATCCCAAACTCTCTGTGTCTTTGGTGCCCAATTGAGCTTGATGCCCTCAGGTAAAAATGGTAGCCTGAATGCATGAGTTACCTTAGCTATATGCTCGACTGAACTGGAATGTTTGTGTTCTAGACGATGAATAAGATGTTGGCAGCGTGTCTGATTCTTCATATTGGCAGTGAGGCAGTCCCACAGCTGTGGACCTCTGTAACATAATGCCTTTCCACCAGCAGATGTTCGTACAGTGCATGGAAGAGGCATGCATCCTGTGATTGAAGGAGACACAGCAGGCAGTAGGGTGTTTGGAGATCTTGCAGGTAGTCTTACAGATTATATTGCAGAGCTTTGTAAGTTAGCAGTGAAATTTCATAGTCTTAGACCTGATTTTGACATTTACTGAAGAAAATCTGACTAGTGCTCAACCATGAAAAAGTTATCCACATAGGTGGTTGCCACGGGTGGTTTTAGCACTCTGTTATTATGGTTTCTAGACTGTTATTGGTGGTTGCTAGGGTGTTGCTATGCAATTTCTTAAGTGTTCTAAGTGGTTTTAGCATCTTCTGTGGTTGCTAAACCGTTATTGTTGGTTGCTAGTGTGTTGCTATGCAAGTTCTAGTGTTCTAGGTTTTAGTAATTTATGTGGTTCCTAGAGTGTTACCATGCAGTGTCTGAAGTGTTTTAGGAATTTATGTTGTGTTGCTGTTTCAACACCTTGTTATGTGGTTCCTACAGTGTTATGGGTGGTTGCTAGGGTGGTGCTATGGAATTTTTAAAGTGTTCAAAGTGGTTTAGCACATTGTTTTGTGGTTGCTAGAATGTTATACGAGGTTGCTAGGATGTCTCAATGCTGCCTATAGTGTTCTAAGAGGTTTTAGCACTTTGCTATGTAGTTTCTAGGGTGTTGCTATGCAATTTCAAAAGTGTTCTAAATGATTTTAACACCTTGTTATGTGACTGTTAGAATGTTATGGTTGGTTGTTGCTATGCTGCTCCTGGGGTGTTCTAAGATGTTTTAGCACAAAATTGACCATAACACCGGGATCTTTACAGTTGTGGAAAACAGTACAATAGAACCCTTTTGTTTTGAAGGTGCATAATTGTGTTTAATCAGTGAAGCAGTGGAAGTTGAATGTTTATAATGATAGAAATAATAACTCCAGGATACAACTTTGATGGACACTATCCTAGACCCTTAATTTTCATACTTGACCCGTGATTTTCAAGTCTTCCTAACAGGATGTTAAGGTCAATGGGGTCAACTGTGTGCTGAAAGCTCCAAAGAGATCCAGTAGTGCTACAAGTGAGATACAGCCATGGGCAGTGGGCAGTATGTTATTGAGAACTTTGACAAGTGCCGTTTTAGTCTTCAGCAACGCTGTTAAAATCATGTCAGTGTCCACTAACAGTTTGAGTGTAGACAACAACTCCTTTGAGAACAAACGGCTCAGGTCTGGCGTCCGTCGAGGCCTAGCACTAGTATGTGCTCTCTCTTAGTAAAAATTAGTATGCATTACATTGATTTCCACTAATAAGGAAATGAAATCCAATCAAAATTGGACATGCAAGTTAGTTCCTTGATTTAAAAAAAAAAATGTATTAGAAGTTTATGGAATAGCTTTAATCGCTAGTGTTGTTCTCTAAGATCTGGTTGTAACTGGGCTGTTGTTTGAAACCCACATCAGCAGTATCTGTGGGACTCCTTGCTCTCACATATGTAACATCACTTAATCATAAAGTTCCTCAGTGGCATTTAAAAACTAGTCCATGGTTTCTCTCTTCATCTAAATTACGAATAGGATACAAATTGTTGCTATTGATGTGCAAAGCCCTGAGTGACACAGCAAAAGAGTCTGTAGATGACCTCTTGACCTGCTTCCAACCCCCACATTTGCTCACAAGATTCTAGTCACATAAGGACCTTGTATTATTCTACTTATGTATCAAAGAGATCCAATAGTGCTACCAGCTACAGCACTGGTCAGTGGACAATAATCTGTTATTGAAGACTTTGACAGTGCTATTTCAGTAATTATCCACACTAGGCTGACACTGGTTATTTATTTAAATAAATAAATATTTAATAATATAAGTCTATGAACACTAAAATTATGTATTTTTATTTTATTTAATAATAATTGAGTTTTATTCGTTTTTAATTGGTTATTATTATTATTATTATATTTACATTTATATTTATGTCATTATCTAAATTTATATATTTATTTAGTAATATTTAATATAATAATTATTCATTATTACCAAATACTGTTTCATTATTATTTTTATATTTAGGCACATGTGTTTAACTTCTCTTATATTACTGATTTTTGCCTGTTTTACTTTTATTACTTATATATACATTTTTTATACATTTTGTAATAATAATAATAATTATTATTATTATTAATGTTATAATTATTAATTATTACGAAATACTATTATGTTTAATTTTTTTTAAATATAATTTATGCACATTTGTTTAGCTTCTCTTATATTACAGATTTTTTTGCCTCTTTTACTTTTTAAAAAATATTTACGTCACTTACTGTACATTATTCCAATTATTGTTTTACGTGGTTTTTTGCATTTTTACATACTTCATTTTGTATTGATTAACTGCTTTTAGTGTTTTCAATGTCTGTAAAGTGACTACGAATAGAAAAGCCCTGCCCTGTGAGCCTCCCTCCTTTTACTGTTGGATTGTGGGTAATTTGTCCTTGATGTGACAAATGTGACAGAACGTGTGCGTCTCCTTGTTTATCTTTCTAAATGAGTTTTAGCATTGCAGTGTGGGCCGTTGCATGCAGTGGAACTCTATAACTGTTGAAAAATCTCAACACTGACAGGCCCAGGTGTGCCTGTATGTATGTGTGTGTGTCGGTCTATGACGTGTTTTCGTGTGTGTGTCTTGCGAGTCGCAGAGTTGTCTAAATCCTGTACACCTGCAGGCATTTAAAGCAAAGAATTATTTTTTTCACTAATCCTTCTGACGTGTCTCCAACTTAACACCGTGAGCTAGGCTTTTCTGTCTCCTTTTTCTCGTCTTTTGGTAGTTTTCCTCATTAAATCTGCATATCACTTTCTCTTTCTCTTCCCAGGGTACAGCATCTGTTCTGCAGCGCAGGTCTGATAATGAGGAATATGTTGAAGTGGGCCGCCTGGGTCCATCTGACTACTTCGGTGAGTGTTGTGAGGATCGCAGAGCCTGCAACGTTGTGCCAGAGTCTTGTAAATAAGAGAACAGAAGTGCCTGAGCCAGGCAGGAAGAGTAGCTTTCCTAACAGGTGGCAGTTCGTCATGTGCAGGGCTTGCAGAATGTAGATCTGTGTGCTTGTTTACCGTCAGTGCGGTTTACACTACTGCACCACAGGCGCACTGATCTATGGTTTATCACATGACATAGTGAGTATAGTAATATTTACATTATGTAGCGAGACACTGCTTTTTGTATTGTGACTGTATCATTTCAAAGCTGTGTGTTTATGTTATCAGCATACAGCAAAGGCAGTGAATTTTAACTGATGACTGCTTAAAGGGGGGGTGAGACATTTCTGCAACACTAGTGTCACCAAACAGAATGGCAGAAATAGTGATTGTTTAAAACAGATTTTCTAAACACTCCCCGATCTGCCATTGGTTGGCCAATGAGATAGTCCCTCCTCAAACTCAAACCATTGGATTGAGTCAATGTTTTACTGTTAGGCTGCTCAAATGGCTTAATTACTTATTAGTTTCTGCATAAAAAATAAAGTACCTTTAAATGTCTTTAAATGTTTAAATGTCTTTAAATACTTTATTGTTGTGATTTTTTTTCTTTAAAGGGGTCATAAATGTAAACATTTGTATCATTTCATTGACTTATAAAGTCAATGTTTTTACACATACAGAGCAAAAACAGTCATAATAATACAATAATACAAAATTTAATAACATTTTTATAATTATTTGCATTAATATATTATTTATAATAATGATGATGATCATCATCACACCAATTACAACTAAATATTATTACATTTAATTATTTTGAAAATGTTTCATTTATTATATATTTATGATTTTTGCCATGTTTTAGTTTTTACACACAACATTTATGTAACATTTACATCCTTAACATTATTCTAATTATTGTTTTACTTGTATTTATAATAATTATGATGATGATGATGATTATCATTACACTAATTACTACTAAATGTTGTTATATTTAATTATTTTGAAAATGTTTATTTTCTTATATATTTGTCCTTTTAAAAGGGTCATAATCTACACATTTGTGTCATTATACACATTCAATGTTCTTGCAAAAACAGTGCAAAACCATATTTGTTTCCACTCTGTCGGAATTAGGCTGACTGTTTTTGCTACTGTACCTTTAAGACTTCTATATGTAAATAAACCTTTGCTACGACCAGCTGACATCTATGTAGCGGCATAGTTCACATTGGTTCATTAGGGATAGCCATGTTACTAAGTATTGAATAGGTGTTGTTAATTATGTAAATTTAAGCGGTACCAAAACAGAGCCCTGAGGGACACCAGAGCTGATGCCATAATGAATTTGTGAATTCTTTTGGCAAACTAGTATTAATTAATAGCCTGGATGCACTGGGATATTTTGAGTTTTGAATGTTAGAGTATGTAAGATCGATTTTATGTCAGAGTGAAAAAGTGAGAAAAATCTAAATGGATTTCTATGATGTGTAACCTTTGAATAAAGTCATTAAGCTAATCTATGTGCATTTGTTTTATTTGTTCAGGTGAGATAGCGCTGCTACTGAACAGACCCCGTGCGGCCACTGTCGTGGCCAGAGGTCCGCTCAAGTGCGTGAAGCTGGACAGGCCACGTTTCGAGCGTGTCCTCGGGCCCTGCTCTGAGATCCTCAAGAGGAACATTCAGAGATATAACAGCTTCATTTCCCTCACAGTCTAACCCAACCATCTGACACTTGTCTAGACCTCTGTCAGGTTACTTGGGTGCCTGGTTGCATAAAATAATGTGTGAGGTACTAGCTTAACTCTAGTTGAGTTGCTCTGAACAGGGTCGACAGTAGATAATAATAAAAAACAACTTATTTTATGCAGCCAAGCATTCAGTTTTATTTTTATTGCAAGAAGCACAAGTGCTCCACCTTTCTGCTTTTTTCCTTTATGTGATTTTCTTTTTCTTATGTGCACTTTGAATTGACCTATGCTGTCACGAAGCTTTATTTCTGCAGATTAGGTGAGGAAATGAGGTGCCTAAATGGACTGATATGAAATATCTTCATGTGGCATGTGTAAATGTCCTACAATACATGATGCATGCAGACCAGAGATGCATTTTGTACACTTGCCATTCAGCGTTGAACAGGAAGGTAATATTACAGATGGTATAAGTATATGAATATGTTTACGTAGAGGAAAGAGTTTTTTAACCTTTGCCTTTTAGCTTTGTTTAGCGTGCTGTGTTTAACCCCACATGGGTCAGTTTGCCGTCTTGTTCGAGAGCTCTGACCCTCTGATGCGAAATCTGTTTATTGAAAAGCATTTTTTTTGCTGTTCTATAGTGATATTTTCTTCTTGGCTGTTCCATCCCTTAACCTTCTCTGAGTTGTGCTTCTGCAGCTGGAATTCATGGGAAGTGGTTTGTTACATTTTAAGACACAAGTTTTAATAGAGGACAGCTTTAAAAGGGGTTTTCATGGGAGTCTCGCTGAAGTCTTAATGTGTTGTAAGAGTTAAATCTGTGTGCTGTTGCTTTTCTTTTATTCTTTACAATGCAATTGTATTACACGCAAATGCACATCCACACACATGCTCTTACATCCTGAGGCCATGACAAGTTTGGGTGAATCTCATGAAACCTGTCAAGAACATTTCCAGGTCGTATTTCACCCTGATTCCCCAAAATACACACACACAACACACACACACACACATCATAGGCTTCATATGCATATGTACCATATTTACGGTATGAAGCTTATTTTTAGGACCATTGAGATTTGGAGTAGTATTTTTTGTACTAACTTTAATTTATGCTGATTTAAATAATAAAAAATATATATATATTTTTTTTTTTACTGTAAAACAGTAAATAAAAAATACAAAATTGACAATTTTGGGAATTATAATAAATTTTGGGGAAGGAAATGGGAATAAGATTTTTGTTGTACAGTATTGATAATATTGTGGATAAATGTACGCAGTTGTCAAAACAATAATGCAAACATCCTAAAAATGCTCTTCAAAATATGTTTAAATTGATTTATGAACAAAAATAATACAATTTTTGAGTGAAATGTGACAAGTGACTAATGGATGTGATCCAATATTGACCAGAAATGGGGAAAAAGTAAAAAAAAAAAAAAAAAAAAATGAGAATAATGGCAGGTACGCTAATTTTGTGGGAAAGATTTTTTTGTAGTACAGTATCGAGAATATTGTGGAAAAATGCACACAATTGTCATGAAAATAATACAAACACAAAGCAAAAATGTCCCAAAAATGGTCTTAAAAATAGGTTTGAATTTATTTATGAAAAATATAATTCAATTTTGGGGTGAAGTGTGACATTTTTTTGTGTGATTCACCAGTTTATTATAAAGTACTTATGGAAATGTTCTAGAATTGAATAGAAATCATAAAATTTGTTCTCAGTACCTGCCTACAACAGCATTTTGGCCATTGTTTGTGTGTTCAAAACATTTACCTGTATAATTCACCTATGAGGCTCAAAAGTGCTGTAGGTTTTGAGACAGCCATTGTTTGTTTGTCGTGACTTAAGGAGAGTGTTGGTTTTTTGCAGTTTAGTTTATTTAGATGAATATGTTGGAGGTTATTTGAGTGAATTTGGAAGGAGCGATTGTGCATGCTTTGTTTCTTTGGTTTTTACAAAATAAAATGCACACACACACACACACACACACCAACGTTTACTCACATTCTGTGACTCAAATCTTTAGGCCAATAAAGAAAAGCTTCTGAACATCATTAAATGTCTCGTCACTTTTTAATGCATCTGTTTGTCTCTTGAAACCCCCTTTGATCTTTTCTAGATCACCTTATCATTCTTCCTGTCTGTTTGACACTCGTTCACCCTGGATCTCTCTCTCTCTCTTTTACTCCCACTGTCAGTCAGATGTCAGCTTGTGTTGTCAGAGGAAGCGGAGGCCAGCGAGATTAAACTGGAGCTTTTGGCTTTGACACATTCCATCTGATCTTAACTACACTAAATCAATTTGGGAATGTACTCAAGCCTGCCAGTCAAGCACTTTAAACACACACACACGCACAGACACATTTGATTATAAAAGCTTCAGGCTGAATTGATGACCTCTTATTTTAAGACCTCTATTTTCTTTCCATTTTTGTCTATTTTTATTAAGGGCTTTTTTTTATTTTACATATCAGTTGATTTGCATGTTTTAAGGGCATTAATGTTTGTATTTTACGTATGAAGCTTTTTTTTGCATGCTTTAAAGGGGTCATATGATGCTGCTAAAAAGAACATTATTTTGTGTATTTGGTGTAATGAAATGTGTTTATGCGGTTTATGGTTAAAAAAACACATTATTTTCTACATACTTTACATTATAGTTGCTCCTCTATGCCCCGACTTTCTGAAACGTGTCGATTTTTACAAAGCTCATCGGTCTGAAAAAGCGAGATGTGCTGTGATTGGCCAGCTATCCAGTGCGTTATGATTGGCCGAATACCCCAGGCATGTGACGGAAATGCTACGCCCCTTACCATACTGACTGATTTGTAGTCGTGTCCATTTTTGGAAGACCAAACAAAGTAGTTTCGCTTTCACAACGAAACACAGCGTGACACACGACGGTCTAGAGTGAGCGGCCACGGCCTAGAGTGAGCGGAGGCCGGGGGCTAGAGTGAGGAACGGCCGGAGGGCTTGAGTGAGCGGAGGCGGGCGGGCTTGCGACAACAACATGTGACGACCCCGGACTGGACTCCGCTTCATCTACGGTGAAAGCTGATCCGGCGATCCACAGCGCAAAGTTGTTGTATTTCCTCAGCAACCAGCACGGATCAGCTCCAGGCATGACGAAGCAGATATCGTCCTCTTTTGGAAGACCAAACAAAGTAGTTTCACTTTCACAACGAAACACACAGCGCCTTCACGACATGGCGGCAACAACAATACTACAGCGAGAATAAAAATTACGCCTTCTTTCTTTGCGTGAACATTTGGGCGGCGTTATGCAAATCTTCCCACATCGTGACGTAGATATGTGGGGGCGTGTTAGAACGAGCCTTTTTAGGTAGGCGTGGCTGACTCTTAACTTTTATAAAGAATATCTCTTTGATATTTGAGACTTTAGTCTTTGCAACTTTACAGATCTTCTTTATGCACCAAGAGCTTGTAACACTCCAAAGAGAAAGGACAAATTTAAATCGCATCATATGACCCCTTTAAATGTAACTTCTATAAGATTTTTTAAAAATTCTTTGCAAGTTTTAAAAGTTTGAATTATCTTGCCTTTAATGTTGCTTTAACTATTGTTTTGCATGTTTTAATGACATTAGTATATTTATTTATGTTTTTACATATGATACTTTTTATTTTGCATGCTTTAAAGGAATTAATTTTCAGGTTTTTATAATAGCATTATAATGTTAGACTTTTAGAATTTAATTTTTACGTGATTTTTTTTGTATTATCTGTTTTTAATAATTATGCTTTTTAATTTTAGTAGTAGAGTATATTAATTTATTTGCATTTTTTAACTAAATTTAGGTTTAAATTTAGCCTTTTTTTATCTAATGAGGCTTTTTAATTTAACTTTCGTAATAAGGCTTTGTAAATTCTTTGCATGATTTAAAAGTTTGAATTATCTTGCTTTTTATGTTCCTTTAATTGTTTGTTTGTTTGCACCACAATACATTTTTATTTTTTTTACAGTCAGTTTATTTGGAGTAGATTTGCAACTGGAGTCTCAGTAGATTTCATTACCAGCAACCCGCCTTTACCACCCCACCCTGTCATGAATCATTTAACAGATTTCCCCCCGACCATTACTGTGAGAACACGTTGATATTCAAGCTTAAATTGTATAACTGCTAACATGTCATCTTTGTGTCCCAAACTAATCCCTGTATGGCAGTATCAATGTATGAATATCCACATTACAGTTAAATCCTGACCTGCTTGGGTCGAGGACTGGGATGTGCTGCCAGCTCTAATGAGAAAACAAGAATGAAAGGATCAGAGGAAAGGAGGTGCAGAGGTCAATCAGGAGAGCACCAGATCAGGTCAGCAGATCACAATCTCTCTGAATAATGGAATTCCACAAAAATTCAAAGGAGTTAATGGAACAGGAAATAAAGCCATGACCTGATTACAGTTCAAACACTACTCCGACTTTTGGAATTTTTAAAATTCAGCCAGAACTCAAAGCATAAGAACTTCATGCACACTATAATTATAGACTGACAGATTCAGATCTAGTAATATGATCATAGGAAGTATGTAGTCAAAAAAAATTTCTCCATGTATGCATGTGTGTGTGTGTGTGTGCTGTGGGCTAAACTGAACTGTTTATTTTTCCACATACTGTATATGACTAATCAAAGATGATTTATAACCAAATTCCCGCAGGACATTAGACACTTAGAGGATTCTCTTTGATGTGTTTCCTGTTTGGTGATGTAGTGTCCATTCACCTGCCTATGTAAAGAAGAAAAATGGCCCAATGACAGTTCAGTCCAAGAGGAACAGCACAAGCAATTGTCCTAATGAATCATTCATTCATTTCACCCTTTGAAGAAAAAAAAAAAATATTTACCACTCATACTAATTTTTGTTGTGCGCAGTATACATGGAATACCAGGACGGTTTTAGTGTCTTGAGTTTTGTAATAATTTTTTTTTATGGATTTTTGGATGTGTGTGATACTTGAACTGAAGACAAATTTCTATTATTATGTAATAGACAATAAAGTTTTTTGAATTTGAATGAACCACTAAATTTAGCTGCATGTGCAATATATAACCATGACACAATGCATTGGGCAAGGTAATTATAGTTAACTAAAACTAAAACCATTTTTTACTTAAAATAAATGGAAGTACATTTTTATGTATGTGTATATATATATGTATATATATATATATATATATATATATATATATATATATAATTTCAGGTACTTGCCGCTGGACTCATCATCAGTGATGTTCCTGGAATCATCGGGTGTTTCGGGTCTTTCAACATCATACACCCTCTTCCAGGTGACTGATCAGACCCAAGCTTGTGTCCAGCTGACTAGCTACTTAGCACTCCATGGCTCTCCTCTTTTGAGCCATAGCAACCTTGAAGCCCTCTCTGCTGCTTCAGTGGTGCTGCGTATA